TCCCTCTCTCTCTCTCTCACGTCCTTTTCAATCATTAATCATAATACATAAAGCTAACACAAAATCATCGTCTTCTCTTCCCTTCAGCGGGAAAAAAAATCACATAATACTATCACTTTCCTCTCTCTCTTTCTCATATCGCTCTATATTCTTTCTATTTAGCATCTTGGTGACAAAGAATCATGGCGCTTGCGTTCCATGGCTTCTCCATAAGGCACACACTTATATATACATATATAGGGATCTCTTTTTAATACTTTTTATGGTTTTAATTTGTTGGGTTTTGTTTGTTTAGTGTGTTTTCACTGTTATGACTGTGACTGTAACTAACTGTGTCTCTTTCTTTCTGCGGTTGTTATGATTCGGTGTGGCAGGGACTACACTTCAAAGATAAGGGCGGTTGACGTTTTCAAATGCTGGCCATTTGCCGCCGAGGGAGTCAGCCGCTGGGAGGCCGAGTCTTGGCTTCCGCCAATGACTGTTCCCAAGTTCAGTGGATGGTCGGATGAGTTTGTCGAACTGAGATCTAACCTCCCCGGAGATGGTGGAGACCAAGGAAGGGAGAATCGGGAAAGCCAGGCGGTTTCTGATGATAGTGAGTCGGAGAAAGTGGATAAGTTTGTTAGCTGTGGATGTGATGTGGAGGAGGAGGAAGTCGAGGAGGAACAGGAGAAGATTGAGATGATTTGTCCGGTGTGCAGAGATTTCAAAGCTGCGACGCTGACGGCGGTGAACGCGCACATCGACGGTTGCCTTATGCGGAGGGTGAGAGAGGAGCGGCAGCGGATACGGCGGTTGAAATTGAAGGCGCCGAAGAAGCGATCCATCGCGGAGATTTTCGAGCTGAAGGAGGACGTGGAAGAGGAGAAGCGGCCGCCGGAGATCGAGACTGAAATGAAACTCTTGCCGCTGGACGCCTGCGAGGTTTCGAGCGCTGTCACGAAGCTCCGGTGGCTCTCGGAGCGGCTCGAGGCGCTGAGATCCAACGGAATTTCCTTCGAATCGGTGAAATCCCTCGGAGCAAAGTCAAATTCCCCGGAGAAGGAGAAATCGGAGTGGCTGCGTCCTGGATGTAGGGTTTTCAACACCGTAACGGAGACGGCAGCTAACGAGCACATCAACGGTTGCCTCGCGACCGCGATGAGGGAGGAAGGGTGCCGGAGACCGAGTTTGGATAATCCGAAGCCGAAAGCGCCGAAGAAGCGCTCTATCGCTGATATTCTCACTGTGGCGCTGCCAATCGACGGTTATGGCGACGGAAAACTCGCGGCGGAGGGAGAGATAGACGATGAAGGCGAAGAATTGGAGAAACACGGGTTCTCCGGTGTAAGAATAAAGAGTAAGAAGTGTACGAACAACATCGTAAGGAAAAAGAAAAAGGTGAAGAAGAAAAACAAGGTGGAAAAACAAAGCGTTTTGTGTCTGAACGGTGAAAGTAAGAAGATAAACAAAAGGAAGAAGAAAAAGAAGAAACTGAACATCGTGTTCACTGCAACGAAGGTATGTTTCCATGTATGTCGTTATTGGTTATACATGTCAATCAATGTCATGTTATGTTATGTATGATTTTCATGGCATAAAATATAAGTTAATCTTCCATGAATGTATGTATGCATGGTAGTACCATAATTTGGTGGGTTTTGAAGCATAAAATATTAAGCAATAGTGTAGTTTCTGTGTTGGGGTAGTTGATGGTGCCATGCGATAATAGGTTTGCGAACTCTACGCGTGGCTTTTTCTGCATCAAACTGATGCCAAAAAGTGTGGGTTCTGAGTTATTAAGAGATAGCCTTACGATTGTGATTTAGAGGAAAAGATTGAATGGTTCCTACTTTCTGGTTAGGCACTTGTGAGAAAGTTGAGGTACGAATATTGAAGATGAGGGTTTATTGATGATGGGTTGCTAGCTACTACTAGGTGAAAGAGTTGAATCTAATGATGAGAGTTTTTTTTTTCCATCTAGTTACTACTATTAGATAATAGTTTTGGGGTAAATTAACTAATGGGCCATGGGGAACTAGACAAGTGTATTCTCATCTATGATGATGACTAGTTTTTCTGACATAGGTTGGATACAGATTACAGCTGGATAAGATTTGGGTTGTGTGGGATCTGTGAGTGAAGCTTCAGAATTTAAAGGATCCTTTGTTTGGTCTGTAATAGGATGTTTTGTTATGCCATGCCAGATGACACTGCGTCTGAAAATTTACGCTGGTTTGAAGTAATATCGAGTTATTATCCTATGGACTAGTGTTTTGTTTATCAAAAGTGTTTTTTCACATTAAGAGAGATAAAAGGAGAGAAAAATATAGAAGATATTATGATATTAAAAACCATTATAAAAAATATCGTATATATCTATTAAAAAAAATGTGATTTGCGCTCTTTATTTTTCTGAAATTGAAAAAGTATGAAACGTGGGGTATGTAATTTATTAGGTAAAATAATCCTTGTCTTTTAGAGAAAATGAAATGAATGAGATCCGAACCTAGGTGGAGAGTATGTAGCTACGAAAGTGATGAGTACATGTACATGTAATTCTATCTGAATATCAGTACATTGAGGTTGCACTATACTGATATAATGTCTGATCTTTTGGTCGGTGGGGACTTTTCCCCTTGGAATACTCGAAATGAACACATTAATGCAGTTCAATTTCAAAGTTGGATTCGGTTGAAAAAACTGACATCTGAGGTCTTGTTTAAATCTACAAATTTCAACTCTAATTTTAGCTATACCTTTTCTTCCCAACGTCTCATTTTCTAATCATATTTTCTTTATACCTATCAAGTAATAATGAGTGATGAGAACAGAGTAACCTATATATGGTATCAAGACTTTCAAAGTCAGTATTCTGAACCGTATAAACAACATTTAAATATATATAGAGGTACACACAGAAATATTATATATATATAGGGGTTTGTTAACGCGCGTACGCCTGTTTTTCAGTTCGTACATTCTAGCAATGTGTATCGGGTTTTAGTAGACAAAAATACTTTTATATATAATGGATTCTAAGTTTCAAAGTTAAGACTATTTGAATAATTTTCATTCTCAAATCTTTTTTGAATAATTTTCATTCTCAAATCCTTCCTCACCTTCCTTATTCCTCTCAGTCCTTTCTTTTTCATCTCTCCCACTTCAACATTTTCTTTGTCATCCTATGTAGTCCCTGAAAAAAATCAGACTGGTTGTTAAACAATTTCTTCTTACAAAAAATGATTTTATAATGAGTTTTCATTTTATAATTTTTGTCTTATCTAATTTTATCTAATTTTCACAAGTATAATGACATATGAAGGAATTGGTAATTGGTCTGGAAAAAATCAGAAATACTTGTTAAAAAATTTCTTACAAAAACTGAATTTTATAATGAGTTTTCATTTTAAAATTTTTGTCTTGTCTAATTTTATCTAATTTTCACATACATAATTACATTAAAGGAATTGGTAAGTGGCTCGGAAAAAATCAGAAACATTCTTTGTTAAACATTTTCTTACAAAAAAATGATTTTATAATGAGTTTTCATTTTATAATTTATATCTTATCTAATTTTCACAGACATCGGAAGGAATTGGTAATTGACCTGGAGATTTAGAGATGATGATTCAACATCTGCACATGATGAAATTAGAGATGTTAGTGAAGATGATGAAATTGAAGAGATCTTGAATGAACATTTGCTTGAAGGTGAATATGCATAAACACTTCCTAATCCTAATCCATCTTCCTCACTTATCCAATTTGTTTCTCTGTCATCTCCATACTCTCTCACCCACACACAACAACTCGCGACACCGCAATTTGTTGCTCTTGCTTTGTTGGTTCATTTGTTTTCCACTTTAATAATAAAATAATTGATGATGTTGATGTTAATTTTTTATTGGTTATATATTTTCCCTTCTTCTTATTATTAAATTTCATTTTTAAATTAAGTCACCGTAGGGATGACAGAGAAAAGATTGGAGTGAGAGAGATGAAAGAAAAAGAGTTGAGAGGAATGAAAGTGGTGAGGAAGGGTTTGAGGTTCTCTTTCAGAATGAAAATTATTAAAATACTCTTAACCTTAAAACATAGAATCCATGATACAAGGGTATTTTTGTCTACTGAAATTCAATGCACTTTGTTAAAATGTACTAACTGAAAAACAAGCCTACACTCGCTTTAGGAAACCCATATATATATATATATATATATATATATATATATATGNATTCTTACAAAAAATGATTTTATAATGAGTTTTCATTTTATAATTTTTGTCTTATCTAATTTTATCTAATTTTCACAAGCATAATGACGAATGAATTGGTAATTGGTCTGGAAAAAATCAGAATACTCCTTCAAAAATTTCTTACAAAAATTGATTTGTCTTGTCTAATTTTATCTAATTTTCACAAACATATTTACATTAAAAGAATTGGTAATTGGCTCGGAAAAAATCAGAAACACTCTTTGTTAAACAATTTCTTACAAAAAAATTATTTTATAATGAGTTTTCATTCTATAATTTGTGTCTTATCTAATTTTCACAAGCATAATGACATCGGAAGGAATTGGTAATTGACCTGGAGGGTTTTTTTAGAGACGATGATTCAACATCTGCAGATGATGAAATTAGATATGTTAGTGAAGATGATGAAATTGAAGAGATCTTAAATGAACATTTGCCTGAAGGTGAATATGCATAAACACTTCCTAATCCTAATCCACCTTCCTCAGTTATCCAATTTGTTTCTCTCTCATCTCCATACTCTCTCACCCACACACAACAACTCGCAACATCGCAATTTGTTGCTCTTGCTTTGTTGGTTCACAAAAATACTCTTATATATTATGGATTTTAAATTTTAAAGTTAAAAGTATTTAAATAATTTCTGATTCTTTTATTTTAAATTAAATACAAAAATTATTAAAATATCTATGTCTTTATGAATATATTTTTTCAACTAAAATTTAGTACATGAAGTTATATAAGTTATCTATACTTGTATATAAATATAATTTATATATTCGGAATTGTTTTCCAGTTTTACCTTTAAATAAATATTTTCTAAAACTAAAATAATTATTTTATTACTTTTTTTAAGTCAACATTTCTTTAAATTTAACATTTTTTACCCATTTATTAAACTTAACATTTTGTTACAAAATAAATACAAAATATTTAGAATAAAACTAAAAAGAATATTTTAATTTTATAACTATAAAAAAATAAAAATAATAGTAATTTTTATTTTTTTATTATCATAAAAAATACAATATATATTTTCCCTAATATTTAATAATTATGTTAACATATACACTTTACATAAAATTTATCTTTTAAAATCCCATACATTTTAATTACATAGAGTTATAATATAAGTATTTTAAAACATAATTATAATAATATTATATTTAAGTAATGTTGTTTAAAATAATTATATTAAACATAAATGTTTAATGAAATAGTACCAGTTTATTAAAGTTATTAACGTGTATTTACTTTAATTAATTCTTTTAATAATTTACAATATAATTATTGAAAATATTGATAAGTTCTTTCAATAGATAATTATATAGTAAATAATAAAAAAATATTTATATAACTTTTTACTTATTGTAACAATATTTAAAATAAAAAGACTATGATTGTAAAATATTTATTAAATATTAAAATATTAATATAATAATAAAATAATTATTAAATGAAAACAAAAAATATTAATAGGGATAGAGCTGAAAAAAATGAAAATAAAAAATATTAAATCAATCAATTTTAATAAAATAAAAGGTAAAATGAAGAGAAGTCATTTGTAGTAAATATTTATAATTGTGTTTCCGAATAGGATATTCTTTTAATAATTATATTACATTTCAATTTTTAGCCATATTGACCAAATTACCCTTCATCATTTATAAGATAGCATTGACTAACTCTTGTCTAGTCGACAGGGATCCAAAGCTAATGTTCAGAGCTTCTGGTGTATGCCTCTGCATTTGAGCTATTTTTCTCCAGAAATCATGATAGGCATGGCTTTGAGGTTGGTTTCACACTCTATGTCTTTCACCTGTTTCTCTGTTTGAATTATTCTCTTTCACCATCTTTTAAGTATAATGATTCAAAAAAATCAAGTATTTTTTAAGTATTAGATATTCTGCTCGCACTTTCCACCGTTGAATCCTTTGACTCACTTTTCTGTTAATTGAAATATTTTATTTACTTTACCACTTTGCTAGGTGGATGGATTGTGTACAGAGTTAACATCTAGGTTGATGAAATCAATGACTTCTTATTTGTTATACTAACCTCTGATCCTGCATGAGGATTTTTCTTTTGGTTCTTTTGTATTTTTTTTAATGTTATGAATACTGCCACAACTTAGTTTTTGTTTCTGGTAATTGCTAGAAACCGTGCCAACATTTCCTATTCAAGGGCTTTGTTTGCTGAGAGCTTCCACAGGCTGTTGTGTACTCAGACTGGAGGGTATGGAAATTTAACCACCAGTTTCTCTTGTCTTTGATTTACATTTCCTTTTTGAACTTGCCTTATGATGGCAAACTATCAGTTATTCTGATCTGAGTAATTGAAACCGTGAAGGTTGATTATGGGATTTTTTGTGAAAACAAGCAAAGGGGCGAATGACTGAATGTGTTCCTTAGGTGCATTAAAATTTATATTTCTGTCATGCTGTGTGTGTTTTCGGAGAGGACTATAAAGATGAACGATGAATATATTTCCCCGTTGAGACACCAGATTTTTATTTTAATGTAACCAGAGCAGGGATTTGGGGCTTCTATTTGGCACCTAATAAGTCACCCTAGAGTATTGGATTGACCATTTTAGAAAAAAAAGTGGTACTTCCAGTTGCCAACCTATATCAAAACCAAATATTGAACCCTTGATTTTGGTTTAGGGACTCAATTTTTGAAACACCTATACATCTTTTCGTGACATACTAATCTTTGATGGGGCACCAAAGACTCCACAACCTTTTAGTCCTGAATTTCTGCTTCCACCAATTATTAGATACATATCATATGATGCTCAGCATGCTACAAATGTTATCAAAAGGATCTCTGTACTTGTGGCTTTAATTCACATTTGATGTTGAAATAATTCAAAATCCTTCTACAAAGTCTTTCTACTAATCCTCTTACGAGATAAAAGCATTGGATATTTTTAAGTTTCCGAGATATTGATGACTGTATTTGCTTTTTCTCTTAATACGTTTTTTCATAAAGTATTAGAATGATTTGTGAGATGATATAGCATTGCTCCCTGATGTGGTGGTTCAGGAAGCTGCAAGACAAGGTTGCACTGATCACTGGGGCAGCTAGTGGAATAGGAAAGGCCACAGCCACCAAATTTATCAACAATGGAGCTAAGGTTATTATTGCTGATATTAATCAACAGCTTGGTGAGGAGACGGCAAAAGAACTAGGATCTAATGCCACTTTCGTAACATGTGATGTCACTCAAGAGTCAGACATATCCAATGCTGTTGAGTTTGCCATTTCTAAATACAAACAACTTGATATCATGTACAACAATGCAGGGGTAGCCTGCAAAAGTCCTCTAAGCATTGTTGACCTGGACATGGCCTTGTTTGACAAAATCATGGACATAAATGTTCGTGGTGCAGTGGCAGGTATCAAGCATGCAGCACGTGTGATGATCCCACGTGGAAGTGGGTCTATTCTCTGCACAGCAAGTGTCACAGGTGTGATGGGAGGTTTGGCTCAGCACACTTACTCGATATCAAAGTCTGCAGTCATAGGCATTGTTAAATCGCTGGCTTCTGAGCTATGCAGGCATGGAATCCGAGTCAATTGCATATCACCTTTTGCCATTCCAACACCTTTTGCTCTGGGAGAAATGAGTCAGATATATCCTCATGTTGATAGTCAGAGACATGTGGATATTATTCACAATGCTAGTGTCCTAAAGGGTGTCTATTGTGAACCCGATGATGTTGCTAATGCTGCACTTTTTCTTGCGTCCAATGATGCCAAGTATATTAGTGGACACAATTTGGTTGTGGATGGAGGTTTCACATCTTTTAAGAATTTGGAATTTCCTGCACCAGATCAAGTGCAGTAGAACTTTTTTCAAATTATATTTAGATAAAGGTAACAATGATGGAAAACCATCTTGGAATTTCAAATTTTAAATAAATAATTCAGTGAGAGTGAGTCAATTTCATTTATTTCAGTACTCCCATGTTTAGCGTTTGAGTGGCGACCACAAATGATATCAGTTTCACACCCAAAAAGGTTGGGAAACTCATGCAAGCATCAAGAGCCAGTTCAAATGCTTTAAGGCACCCTAAATAAGCATGCGATCATAAATGATACTTTTTTGTAGTTCAATATTTTTTTATTCAAAAGGCATTAGAGATAGAAAAGCTTTGTAGGGGGAGTTTCTGTTGAACCTGTCCTGTATGGCTGAACCAGTCATTCCAGGTCCTTCATTACTTTGTGATACAAGAATAAAACATTCCATGTTTACCTTTAGTTTTTAGCATTATAAAAGATGCTATAGCCATAGTCAACTTATGAAAAGATGGTAAAGCTTTTTATTCTCAGAGAACATTTTGTTGCGCCCTCTGTTAACTTGATTGAATCTTGTAATATAACCAATCAAGCTTCCATCAATAGCCTTCTTTATAATAAACTTTACAGCACCAATGGACTACTTGACAAAGGGAATCACACTTTATAAGATTCTAAAACTAACATAGGTTAAATCAGCTTGGAATCTGTAAGATGATTGAAACTTAGGAACAACCATTTTGCAAATATCATCATTTCGACTTACACCATACATAAATTCAGTCCAGTATGCATAAAAAACCTATGCAAAATCAATTTTTTAAGGAGAATAGTTTATTAAAGAGATCCAGATAGAACTTTTTTCATACTCACTGCCGGGAGTGTTAGCAATGTCTGTAAATCAATCCATCGCCACCACATTCTCCCGGACTAACCTACTTCAGTAGAATATGTGGATAGATTTCATAGCGTAATTAAATGTCTCATTCAATTGCTGCTCATAAACTTATTGTCGCGGATTTGTTTTGCAGACTTCATTCATTCATAAGAAAGTACCACTCAAGGCATGAATTTCTTCCCTTTTCTCCTTCAAAATTGTTGGAGAAAAATTTTGGTTCATACGATGAATATTGGCTCTTGATAAGATTCGAGAGTTTAAAGGTTGATCATTAGTGACATACTGACATGATAATGAATTTCCCAATCTCACTGAAAAGGAACCCTATGAGATTCATTTCCTTTTCAGCAAACTCAGAAATAGACACAACAGTAAGATCACAAGACTCCGTGAAAAAATGGCCTATACTACAACGTTTTCCAGGGATTAAAGTTATAATTCCAATAAAGATACAAGATTGTACTATAAGCAAATCAAACCAAAACGAGAAAATTAGAGGGAATCAAATTCACATCGATTGACAGAACTGTTCTATGCGTTGAGCAATGAGGTCAATAGCAGCATTTGCCGATGAGAATGCCCCATGGAAACTCTCTTTGTAGTTAATAGACTCCAGTTCACGGGCCATCTTCAACAGAATCTCACCCAGGTCTGTTTGCTTCTGTAGCAAAGAATTGTAGTATGAGTTGGCAGCCACTCGGCTTATTTCCACATTGGTTTCTTCTGGACAGTACTCATCATCCAACCATTTATGTAAAGCAACCCTAAGCCATTCTGATTCCTGACAAGTGAAAAAAAACAAAACAAAACATGATATAATTTATCCCCAATTACTTATTCTCTAAACTTGTCCATAATTGAAAACCAGTATCAGTTTGGATCTGAAAGCAACAAAAAGGAGTACCTGCAAGGAAATGGTTGGTTCTAACCAATGGTCAGGAACTCTGAGGTCTTCAACTTGGTCATCGGATTCTGTGAATGGGTGAGAATGGGATCTGACCCGGGTGGGAGAATGAGTAGGAGTATAGCACAGAGTTAGTGAAGAAGAAGCATGTTGGTTAGTCAGAGTTACTGCAATGGAAGATGGTGTGAATGCGATTGTGCGAGGGATGACAGGCGACACGGTCATGTGCTGACCCAGATTAAGTTTCGAGGTTGTCATCATGGCCACTGTTGTCTCCTCTCGCTTTCTCTACATAAAAAACACAACTACTAATACGGACCATTCATTCGTAAACACTTAACTTTTTTGGATGAGGTCATACCCCACCACTCGTAGGAGTTGTGCAATTATTCAGATTTCTAAAAGAATGTTCTTTTAACCTTCTAGGATTTTTTTTATAGGTTCCAGAAAAGTTAATCGTAAAGCATTTGTGGAGCACCATGAGAAATTACGAAAAATGAAAAACGAGTATACGGTAATATGGCACTAAAATCATTTGATCAAACTAAATTTGCTTAAATTTTCAAGCGCCAAGGCATAATTCTGAAAATTATGGTTGACGATAGAAGCAATCAAACTTGAGAGCCACAAGCACAGTCGTGTCGACGAAATGGCCATGTATTATTGTCAAGTATTATATCACAATCATTGATACTTTGCACGAGNGTGAAAACAAGCAAAGGGGCGAATGACTGAATGTGTTCCTTAGGTGCATTAAAATTTATATTTCTGTCATGCTGTGTGTGTTTTCGGAGAGGACTATAAAGATGAACAATGAATATATTTCCCCGTTGAGACACCAGATTTTTATTTTAATGTAACCAGAGCAGGGATTTGGGGCTTCTATTTGGCACCTAATAAGTCACCCTAGAGTATTGGATTGACCATTTTAGAAAAAAAAGTGGTACTTCCAGTTGCCAACCTATATCAAAACCAAATATTGAACCCTTGATTTTGGTTTAGGGACTCAATTTTTGAAACACCTATACATCTTTTCGTGACATACTAATCTTTGATGGGGCACCAAAGACTCCACAACCTTTTAGTCCTGAATTTCTGCTTCCACCAATTATTAGATACATATCATATGATGCTCAGCATGCTACAAATGTTATCAAAAGGATCTCTGTACTTGTGGCTTTAATTCACATTTGATGTTGAAATAATTCAAAATCCTTCTACAAAGTCTTTCTACTAATCCTCTTACGAGATAAAAGCATTGGATATTTTTAAGTTTCCGAGATATTGATGACTGTATTTGCTTTTTCTCTTAATACGTTTTTTCATAAAGTATTAGAATGATTTGTGAGATGATATAGCATTGCTCCCTGATGTGGTGGTTCAGGAAGCTGCAAGACAAGGTTGCACTGATCACTGGGGCAGCTAGTGGAATAGGAAAGGCCACAGCCACCAAATTTATCAACAATGGAGCTAAGGTTATTATTGCTGATATTAATCAACAGCTTGGTGAGGAGACGGCAAAAGAACTAGGATCTAATGCCACTTTCGTAACATGTGATGTCACTCAAGAGTCAGACATATCCAATGCTGTTGAGTTTGCCATTTCTAAATACAAACAACTTGATATCATGTACAACAATGCAGGGGTAGCCTGCAAAAGTCCTCTAAGCATTGTTGACCTGGACATGGCCTTGTTTGACAAAATCATGGACATAAATGTTCGTGGTGCAGTGGCAGGTATCAAGCATGCAGCACGTGTGATGATCCCACGTGGAAGTGGGTCTATTCTCTGCACAGCAAGTGTCACAGGTGTGATGGGAGGTTTGGCTCAGCACACTTACTCGATATCAAAGTCTGCAGTCATAGGCATTGTTAAATCGCTGGCTTCTGAGCTATGCAGGCATGGAATCCGAGTCAATTGCATATCACCTTTTGCCATTCCAACACCTTTTGCTCTGGGAGAAATGAGTCAGATATATCCTCATGTTGATAGTCAGAGACATGTGGATATTATTCACAATGCTAGTGTCCTAAAGGGTGTCTATTGTGAACCCGATGATGTTGCTAATGCTGCACTTTTTCTTGCGTCCAATGATGCCAAGTATATTAGTGGACACAATTTGGTTGTGGATGGAGGTTTCACATCTTTTAAGAATTTGGAATTTCCTGCACCAGATCAAGTGCAGTAGAACTTTATTCAAATTATATTTAGATAAAGGTAACAATGATGGAAAACCATCTTGGAATTTCAAATTTTAAATAAATAATTCAGTGAGAGTGAGTCAATTTCATTTATTTCAGTACTCCCATGTTTAGCGTTTGAGTGGCGACCACAAATGATATCAGTTTCACACCCAAAAAGGTTGGGAAACTCATGCAAGCATCAAGAGCCAGTTCAAATGCTTTAAGGCACCCTAAATAAGCATGCGATCATAAATGATACTTTTTTGTAGTTCAATATTTTTTTATTCAAAAGGCATTAGAGATAGAAAAGCTTTGTAGGGGGAGTTTCTGTTGAACCTGTCCTGTATGGCTGAACCAGTCATTCCAGGTCCTTCATTACTTTGTGATACAAGAATAAAACATTCCATGTTTACCTTTAGTTTTTAGCATTATAAAAGATGCTATAGCCATAGTCAACTTATGAAAAGATGGTAAAGCTTTTTATTCTCAGAGAACATTTTGTTGCGCCCTCTGTTAACTTGATTGAATCTTGTAATATAACCAATCAAGCTTCCATCAATAGCCTTCTTTATAATAAACTTTACAGCACCAATGGACTACTTGACAAAGGGAATCACACTTTATAAGATTCTAAAACTAACATAGGTTAAATCAGCTTGGAATCTGTAAGATGATTGAAACTTAGGAACAACCATTTTGCAAATATCATCATTTCGACTTACACCATACATAAATTCAGTCCAGTATGCATAAAAAACCTATGCAAAATCAATTTTTTAAGGAGAATAGTTTATTAAAGAGATCCAGATAGAACTTTTTTCATACTCACTGCCGGGAGTGTTAGCAATGTCTGTAAATCAATCCATCGCCACCACATTCTCCCGGACTAACCTACTTCAGTAGAATATGTGGATAGATTTCATAGCGTAATTAAATGTCTCATTCAATTGCTGCTCATAAACTTATTGTCGCGGATTTGTTTTGCAGACTTCATTCATTCATAAGAAAGTACCACTCAAGGCATGAATTTCTTCCCTTTTCTCCTTCAAAATTGTTGGAGAAAAATTTTGGTTCATACGATGAATATTGGCTCTTGATAAGATTCGAGAGTTTAAAGGTTGATCATTAGTGACATACTGACATGATAATGAATTTCCCAATCTCACTGAAAAGGAACCCTATGAGATTCATTTCCTTTTCAGCAAACTCAGAAATAGACACAACAGTAAGATCACAAGACTCCGTGAAAAAATGGCCTATACTACAACGTTTTCCAGGGATTAAAGTTATAATTCCAATAAAGATACAAGATTGTACTATAAGCAAATCAAACCAAAACGAGAAAATTAGAGGGAATCAAATTCACATCGATTGACAGAACTGTTCTATGCGTTGAGCAATGAGGTCAATAGCAGCATTTGCCGATGAGAATGCCCCATGGAAACTCTCTTTGTAGTTAATAGACTCCAGTTCACGGGCCATCTTCAACAGAATCTCACCCAGGTCTGTTTGCTTCTGTAGCAAAGAATTGTAGTATGAGTTGGCAGCCACTCGGCTTATTTCCACATTGGTTTCTTCTGGACAGTACTCATCATCCAACCATTTATGTAAAGCAACCCTAAGCCATTCTGATTCCTGACAAGTGAAAAAAAACAAAACAAAACATGATATAATTTATCCCCAATTACTTATTCTCTAAACTTGTCCATAATTGAAAACCAGTATCAGTTTGGATCTGAAAGCAACAAAAAGGAGTACCTGCAAGGAAATGGTTGGTTCTAACCAATGGTCAGGAACTCTGAGGTCTTCAACTTGGTCATCGGATTCTGTGAATGGGTGAGAATGGGATCTGACCCGGGTGGGAGAATGAGTAGGAGTATAGCACAGAGTTAGTGAAGAAGAAGCATGTTGGTTAGTCAGAGTTACTGCAATGGAAGATGGTGTGAATGCGATTGTGCGAGGGATGACAGGCGACACGATCATGTGCTGACCCAGATTAAGTTTCGAGGTTGTCATCATGGCCACTGTTGTCTCCTCTCGCTTTCTCTACATAAAAAACACAACTACTAATACGGACCATTCATTCGTAAACACTTAACTTTTTTGGATGAGGTCATACCCCACCACTCGTAGGAGTAGTGCAATTATTCAGATTTCTAAAAGAATGTTCTTTTAACCTTCTAGGATTTTTTTTTATAGGTTCCAGAAAAGTTAATCGTAAAGCATTTGTGGAGCACCATGAGAAATTACGAAAAATGAAAAACGAGTATACGGTAATATGGCACTAAAATCATTTGATCAAACTAAATTTGCTTAAATTTTCAAGCGCCAAGGCATAATTCTGAAAATTATGGTTGACGATAGAAGCAATCAAACTTGAGAGCCACAAGCACAGTCGTGTCGACGAAATGGCCATGTATTATTGTCAAGTATTATATCACAATCATTGATACTTTGCACGAGTATCAAGAAGACAGGTTCTTAAAACAACAAAACCAGATTTCGATTTTTGACCCTGTAAATTTTCACTGTGATTGCTATATTCCTATGCTAATAATAATAAAGCCAGCATGCACATAAGCTTATAACATTGCGGATCTCCGAAATTGCCAGGAAAAGGAAGAAATGTATTGGAACTAAAAACGACACAGAATGGCATAGAGAGAACAGATATAGATATATGGACTAGTCCTGCAAGCTGGTGGAGAAAGAGACGCAAGGCGGATCACTAAAGGCTTGGGGGATCTGCTGAGGAGCTTGGATTGAGATTGTTGATACCATGCTTCTGACATATGATCATCTTTTGCACCATACACTGGAAATCCCTGCATTGTTTGATGGTACAAATACTAAAGTTAGCTACAGAAAAGGAAAGAAAAGAGAGTAACTAGCCAAAACAAAGCCTCTCAATTTTTTTTACCAGAATTTGCTTAAGTAAACGTTTCAATGTGTACATGAAAAATATATAAGGATGTCACTTAAAAGAGACAAGTATCAAATGAGAGGGTTTTTTAGAACTAAACATAGAGTAATAATATCATATCATGAAGGATTAATAATACATATTAGTACACATAGTTGAGGTAAATCTTTAAAAAGATCACTTGACTTCTTTAAGTAATCAGGCAACGAAAAAATTGATCTTGGTCATGCACTTGTCACCAAAAAAAACCAAATTTGCTTCTCTTCATTCCCTAAAAAAATGTTGATGGTATGGTATAATTTCAAAAACTAAAAAGAAAAAAGAAAACAGCAGACTTTTTCTGGTTTCTTTTTGTGTGCATACAGGAAAAAAGAATTAAGAAGCAATTGCAGAGTAAAAAAATATCATGTCATGACTGTTATTTAGAAGTAGAAACACAAGCAGAAAAGTAATAACAAAGTTAACTCCATATAATCTTGTTTTCATATGATGTTGTTAGTTTTGGTACTTAACTGCCATGGGTAATCTCGCAAGAACATCATGTCTCCATCATCATCTATGCAGGTCACATGCCAACCACTGCTTCCATTGACTAAGCTGCCTCCAAAATCAAACATCGAGTCGAGCTCAGCAATGAGTTCATCATATCCACGAAATCGGGTTAGATCAACTGCTCTTCCGAGAGCAGTTCCCAGCTTAAGAACCTGAAATAGTTAGTCGCCTTTGTTCAGATGTCTCAGAATGGGAAGAGCTAAGAATGTTTCAGCTACTTGCTATAGTATTTGAGTAATGCTGTCCTTTTACAAACATTCCTAGTACTTAACAAAGAAAGTATTAAATGAATAAGTAAATGCATTGTATGTTTTGGAAATATAGACCACTCAATAAAGTATAACAGTAGAATTTAGAATTATTCACATTATATTATTATTTATTTATATCAGAATGTATCTCGAGGGTTCAAATCATAACCTATTACCAAAATGCTTGGACAGTCAAGCAAGAAGGGTCTAGCATGCCAACAAATTAGTACCCTTTATCCAACTGGACATTTCTCTGGGATTTAAGATTCTCCACAAATGGCTATCTAGTTAAAACTGTAAGGGTTATCCAAATCCTTTTCCTGACACTGATGAAAAGGTTTTAATAAGCAATTTCATTCCCTAATCAGGCTGTTTCCTACTATTGTCCCCCTAGCTACCCCACCTACCTATATTTTACTTAGTAGCACTGAAACAATAGTACACAGCAAAGAGAAACTTCCTACTAAACTCAAGAACATCAAACCGATGAAGGTTAAATCAGAAATGCTGAAGTACCTTTGTGCAGCTACGATTATTGACAGAACGACACTTCTTACATGTTTTCCCGGAGGTAACACACATTGGAGGACTAGAAAGCAGACTTGAAGTCTTGCTGAAACCAGCAAGTTGTGGTGAAGGGAGCTCCGGTTGCCGGTCAATTAAGTTAACTCCAAAAAGCTTGTATTTGCTACAACTGCCAAGATGGCCAAGTGGAGCATCATTTTCATTTCTAGATTCAGAAGGCGGCCATCCCAAGGATTCAGAACAAAGGGAGCTTAAATTTGAACTTGAAATTGACAAGTCTTCATGTGGCAATGACGTTGATCTTCCAAGAGATTTATGAAGAATGTCTTGCATCAGAAAGGGAAGCTGGTTGAGATTCTCCTTCCCGAATTGTGAGCCACGGATTGAGAACTTCGATGGGTGGATTACATCAGTCGATGGTGGTCTTTGCAATGCCCGTGAAGTACTCAGGCCACTGTAATCTTGTCCTTGCAAGTCCCTATCCGCTACCGGCCTGGCTGAACTCTGAGCAGCAGCATCTGATAACAAGAGAATTCAACTAGTCCACAGTGCTTAAAGAAAAGACAACATGTCATTCTAATTTCTAAACACGGAAAGTTATAGCATTAACATCTTTTAGCTTCCTCAAAACGAATTTTACAGGTAAGTCAAACTAGAGATGAATTTACAAGTACTGACCATCCATGGCAAAGACATTTAATCCAGGCAAAGGGCGCTGGTGAAGTACATGTGCCTTTTTTGGGTTGGGGAGAACGGGAATGTGCTTCTCCATGCCAGATTCCAAGGGCTCAATCCACCAAGGACAGACCCTTTCAGGGTGCATGAAGGCATCTACTATGGCATCCCATTGC